CTATTAAAACCTAATTTCATATAATTTAATTACATCACCTATAATTTATAATATTTTAATAATTATGATAAATCTAAAAAACCTAAATTATTAAAAAAAGTAAATATTATTTATTTTAATAATTATATCTTATAATATTTTTAAATTTGTAATTAATAATTAATAAAATCTATCATATTTATCTATAATACTTTTAAAAAATAAATAACTAAATACTAAAATAACTTTTAAATATAATTACAATACAATACAATTCAATACCATCATAATTATAATCACAACACTTCATCGCAATTCAATACCATCATAATTATAGTCAAAACACTTCATCGCAATTTCAAACACTCTCTAAATATTATTTGATATTTAGTTAAACTGACAGTGGTTTTTGAAAAGTAAAAACTGAAAGTATTTAGAAATTGATTAGAACAAAGTCAACAAACAACACTCGAACCAAGCCAAGAAAAAAAAAAAAAAGAAAGGAAGAAGAAGAAAGAAAAGAAAAAGAAAGGAAGAGAGTTACGAGATTGAAGGTAATCAAATATAATCAAACATTAGCTCATAGTATATAATAACAACAAAAATTAGAAGAAAAAAAATATATTAACTTATAGTCAAAATTAATGACTCGAAAACCTTGCAATATCAAGCCGCCAACTTCTCATATACCCCAGAAAAAGAAGTTCATATATGTATCCTACATTCCTATGATTTTGTTATGGGAAATAATTTAAGAAAATTTTTAATTTGTACTCTAAGAGTATAATATTATATTTTTATTATTAATTTATTTAAAAATAAAAATTAACTTAAATTTGATTAATTATTCAATTAAATTGTTTTACATGATATTAGTGTTGAAAATAAAATTTATTTTTATAATTTTTTATATAAATTAATAATAAATATATATAATAAATATATTTTTAGTGTGTTTTTTTATAACAAATAGTTTTAATTTTGAGTCGAATAAAAAAAGAATTTAAAAATAAAGGAGGGTTATCTTATCTCAAATAGTTCATAATCAAATATACAAAAAAAATTTTATAAGAGATATTAGAAAGACCCATAATTTAATTATTAAGATTATTATGAGAAATAATTTAATTCTAGAATCTCCTTCCGACGGGACAACGTAACTTCTTCAAGAAGGCATATGCATAGATCCAATCTTTGTTCATTAGTTAGGCATTTTTTTTTCCTTCTTAAATAAGTGTTACTCCTAGCAAAAGATTGTCCACTTAAAAATCTTTATCCGCCCCAACCCCAATGTGTTCGAAGTCATTTGCTACTGCAAACAGTTTTTTTTTTTTTTTTTCTTTGCCACCACAAGTCCATAAACTTGTTGATTTGCAACTTAAAGTTTTGATTACAGGGTCAAGATTAAAATTTTGATCTTTTTAGCTTGCTATTTAAGCAAATTAAATGCATTAAGGTTAGGTGGGAAGGACCACTGGTATATAGCCAATATAGGTTAACATTCAAAAGAAAGCTCATCTTTACTGGTATAGAACACCTAATTAAGGAAAGCTACACTAGGGACCAGCACCCTTACCTAAAACCTTATGTAAAAGAAAAGGAAATGGGGGGAGGAGGGCACAATTATCGTATGTGTAGTCAATTTATTGCTTAATCAGTGCCTAATTTCTTATCAAGGTTGCATATGTGTGTCTAAATATCTACATAATATTAATTAAAATTGATAAAAAAAAATAAAAAATATTAATTAAAATCTATAAATTTAAATTTTTAAGTAAGGTGTTGTATGAAATTAAGTTTAGTCTTTTTTAGTTCTTCTAATCTTTTAATTTTATGTAAATTAACTTAATAATTTTATGTAGTAAATAAATTATAATTAAAGAAATTTTTTTAATTTAAATAAAAATACTTAACAATTATTATGTATAATTTTTTTAATATTTATTTATTATATAAAATAATCTAATTAAATTTTATCTAAAACTAAAATTAAGACAACTAGGGGAATACCAAATAAAGTCTAGTGTTGCTATTTTTTTACATCCAATGGTTGTTTTCTAGTAAAGAAGGGGTCGTGAACATGAATACGTGGGCTCCTAGAGTAGTTAAGGGAGCTCACATGTGACGAATTGGGCTCCACCACGAATCTCCCCCCAAGTCAATGTCCCACCAACTCTCTTCTTATGACCCGTTTCGTTTTTGTGGTATATTCATATCTTCCTTTTTCTTCTTTCTTTTTTATTTTTCTTAAACATCATGCTTATTTTTTCCATGCTAATTAATTCCGATTATGACACTAATTAGCTTGACATGTTATGTTATCTCCTGTATTTTGATTATTATTATAATATATCTATAATAATTTATTAAATTCATAGAAAAAAAATTTGAAAGTAGTTGTAGAT